ATTCCTAATCACAATGCTATTTCCATAAATCTTCACATGATCAAATATCTCCAAAATCATTCTCATATCACAAACTAATCCTTTAAATTCCCGTTAATTGTTGGCCCTCGGGGTGTGAACAGTGTCCATGAATAGTACCCATGAACAGTACCCATGACGTGAACAGTAACCCCGACTTTCACAAATTGGCCAAAACACTAGCTAATTCCACAGGATTTTCTCCAAAAATCACACAACAATCTAAATCAAGCTAATTTACACTTAAACCAAGCTTAAAACATGCTCAAAGGCTACCGGAATTTCCCCCATTTTTCCAACACAATTCGGACATACAAGGCAGCAAACTAAATGGACAATTTAAGCCTTAAAAGGCTGTCACATACCATAATTCTCCAGCTAAAACCGGAGCTGCAGATTGGGGAAGGCCGGTGGGATCTGCAGGGGGAAGCTCACGGAACTACCCAAAATTGGAGGAACAAGAGCAATCAAAGTTAACCCAAGCCAATTCAAGCAAGAACAAAGGAATTAGGGGCTGTTCTTACCCAAAAAAATGCCCAGAAATCACCCACAATCAAGAGCAGCCGGCGGAAGGACAAAGCAGAGCAGGGCAGATCCGGCTTTTCCAGCAGGGGGGGGAAGATTTCTGGGTTCTAGGTGTGTTCTAGAGCAAGAAAGGAAGGAGAAAACCAAGCTTATCTCACCGGTTTCTCAAAGGCATGGCTGGGTTCCCCTTTTTTTTTCCTCTCGGGCTGCAGCGGGAAGAAGAGCAGAATCGGGCAAGGCTAGGAAGAAAAGAAAGAAAGAAAAAGAAAAAGAAAAGAAGTCATCCTTATCCAAAATCTTTCCCTCTTTAAGTCCCTCAACTTTCAGAGTATTCACATTAGGACCCAAAACAATCTTTTCTCACAATCAAGTCCTTAACTTACACTTAAATATTTTCGAAAATTTGGGGTATTACACTCACCCCTCCTAAAAAGGAGTTTTGTCCCCAAAACTCAAATTGAGGACCATTGCGAGCAGGGAATAGCTTCACACAATCCGAGACAAAACAAATGCCTCATCACTTTCTAGGAACAGAACACGGCCTATTACGCTTCCGCTGCGCCACTTTGATATCAATCCACAGCTAACCATAAAAGCAGGACATTAGCTACTTAACAGGGTTTACCATGAAATGAGCTACTAGAGGCTGGGGTGATATGGGAAGCACAACGAATAAAAATAAATCCTGCCAAAGCCACCAAAGAACCATTGTGGGGTTACGCTACGAACCCATCACAAGACGAGTTGGCAAAGAATGGCATGGATTTACAGACGAGTACAACAAAACTTTGAACTCTATCAAAGACAGATAAGCATCCAATGGATATATGGATCATGAATGAATGAACAAGTGCATGGATGCCTTATAAATTCTACCACAAAACAAGGTCAACCAAAACCAAGATCATGTTTAACAAGCAATTGGAATCAAGAGGCATATTTTAGCAATTAACAAGAGTTAAAAGCTAGGACCATCAAAAGACATGTAATAATCTCAAGAATTGCAACAAAATAAAATCAATAGAAAATATGAATGCTTGGAAGAATATCGGAACACAAGAGTGCAAGGTAGAATGCCTCAAAGAATTCAGCAACAAAATGGCATTCACCTAGAGTCAAGATCAAATTTAACCAAGCAGTCAAAATTGAGAGACAAGAGTTAACCATGAAACAAACAATAGAATTCAAGAATTAGGCCCACAAAAGAGATTTTAATAATAACAATCAGAACATGGATTCAAGAGCAAATATAATCAGGATGTCAAGATCTAGCACCCCAAGTACTAGAATTAATTGACAGAACAAAGCAATGGCTAGGATCAAGAACAATTTCTCTTGGAACAAAACTCTAGGGCATCAAGTACATCAAAGACTACCCCTTCACCTCGTAGCCCATGGAAGCTAAGCAAATTTACAATCAGGTCATCCTAGAGTCAAGTCAAGGCTAAGGCATCAAGAATACAAAGACTAACACTTGCAAGAGACAAGAATGAGGATGCCTCATATAGATATTTCCTAATGATCATCACCCCTCCTAAGAGGTGTCCATATGAACAAAAATCAAAATCAAGAAGATCAACAGGTGTATTGACACAAGAACTAACAGAACATGCAGGATTTCAGCAAGAGCAGTATACAGAATTCGAACAAGAGCAAGGGTCAAGACAAGAATGGTTTCCAAGGACAATTCAAAATAGATTCCAAAAACCAAATATCAACTGATTTTCAAGAATAGATTCCAAGAACAATATCAGTCAATTTTCAAGAGTAGAATTCCAACAAGAATTAATTTCAAGCAAGGTTTATGAACCGATTCCAAGCACAATGCTAGAAACAGTTTCAAGAATTAGTTTCAGACAAGGTTAAATGCTAAATTTGGTCCCTCAACTTTAGGAAATGAACATTTTTGATCCCTCAACAATTTTTTACACTTTTTTGATCCCTCAACTACAAGAAATGCACTCCGTTAGTCCTTCTGTTAATTTAAGCCGTTAACTTTGCTTATGTGGCATTTTTTATATTTTTTTTTTATGATGTGGAGAGCAAAGTAATGATGTGGAGAGCAAAGTGATGATATGGACAAACATTTTGATATTTCATATTACCGTGTGCCAAATCATATTACCGTGTGCCAAATCATATTACCATGTGTCAAATTCATTTAAATGGATCCCACCTCACTAATAAAAAAAAATATCTTTTGATGACATGATAAATTAAATAATATTTTTTTTATTTTGTTAATAATATAACAAATTAAATTAAATATTTATCCGAATAAAAAATAATATCAAATCAAATTTTATTAATTAATCATCATTAAACTATAATTATTT